CTGAAGGGCCGAGTCCTGCCCGTGCTCGGCAAGGCGCATGTGTGGAAAGACTGGCAAGCCTTCAGCTGGAGTCGGGAATGGGGCGGCCAGCACGGCCGGGAAGTGCTGTTCCTGCTCCCATCAGATGTCAGATCTGCGTTTAACATTGACCAAGACCTGCATGGACCTAACATTCGATGATCATTCAGTATTAAAGGTTAAACTGCAATAGAAACTGTAGATTGCTTTATGTAGTATTCCTTAAGAAAAAAAAAAAACAAACAGTGGGAGGGAGGTTTGTGGGAGGCTGATAAACAAAAAAAGAACTATTCTGCCTGCCTTCAAGTAAATTGTGTATGTACATATCTTTTTTATTTTATTTTATGAAAGTTGATTAATGTCAATAAACTACTTCATGACTTTGTAAGTTATTTTTATGTTGTTTATTTGGGTGCTGCCCAGTATTGTTTGTAAATAAGAGGCTTTTTTTTAGCACTCTGAGTTTACCATTTGTAATAAAGTATAATTTTTTAATGTTTCTGTTTCTGGAAAAAATTCTAGAAGGTTCTATTATATTTAAGAAAAAATAAAATAATTAAAATGTATTTCCCCCTCACACATTTTTTTGACTAGTACCTGAGTTGGGAAAATGAAGGGTAAGGTTTAGGTTAAACTTACTCTGTAACTAGAGGCATGTCCTGGAGAGGGTGTGAGGATGGGAGGGAGATGCCAGATCCTGAGCTAACAGAACTTTTTGGGTTGTCCTGAAGTTGTAATTCCCACTTGCAACCTGCCTGTCTTGCCTGCCACATTCCTAGGGCCCAGTTCAGCTGACTTCCAGCATGGTTGTGGAGGGGTGGAAAGGCAGGGTATGGAATTGTTCCATAACTGGAGCAACTGGCTGCTTGATCTGACATGCTTCTTGTTAAATTAATGCCCTCAAGAAGCTAAGGCAAGTGGTTGTAGTTAAAAATATGCTGTAGGCTTCAGCAATAAAAATGTTCACCTTTATTCCTGTGTTCTTTCCCAGGTAGGAGGTGATCCTTGTTTGTTAGTATTTATGGCAATGCTGCTGTCAACAGTAAAGTAACTTTTTATAACCCTTTCCCTGTCTCTAAATCCCTTTTGGGTGTTACTTTGGGTTCTGAACTTCTAAGCTGTAGCAAAGCTGGGAAAGCTGAGCCTAGTGGGAAATGAAAAGAGCAACTTGTTGAAAAACAGCAACTCCTGTTGCTTGTTTCCAGCAACTTGCTGAAAATAGCAACTTCTCTGGTGCTTCCCAAGGATTTTGTACAAAATAACCCTGGGGTTTAGTACGATGGCAATATACAGATAACTCTTGGGAACATGCTGCCTTACTGGGGCGGGGGGGGGGGGGAACAGTTTTACACCAGGTTTACAACATGGTACCCAGTTAATTTAATAAGCATATTTGAAGGAGACCTGATGTCTCCCTCCATGCTGCTTAGAGCCAAAGAGGTGAGAGGAAATAGATGCCACCGAGACAGCCAGAAAATACTAGGAAATTCATTATTCTTATGCAGGCAGCCTTAAAAAGTCCTTTTTCCTTCGAGTAGGAATAAGCATAATTTTAATTGAAGTGAGAGTCTTGGTCAAATCTTCATGATATGACTAGCTAATTTTTTGTATACATACCTATATACACACACCTTTACTGTTACATACTGTGTATATACATATATCTGTATCTACCTTTACTGTTATCAAAATGATGCCTTGAAACTTGCAACTACTTCCTTACAGGAAGCATAGAAGTATCTTCCCTTCAACTTTTTTACTCCCCCATATTTTTATCATGAGAAGTTGTTTTAATGTTTCAAATACGCTAATCTGGTAATCCCTTTCCACATCCCAATCCAAGTGTCAAGGTAGGCACTGTTTGGATGGTGTTTGCTGCTGTCAGAGGAATGCATCTGTAACAACACCAACCAAACAAAGGGTTACTAGGAGGATTCTGGAGTTTGCCAAGAGTACATTTTGCTGATGTCAGCAACCCGGAAGGTAAGTTGATTTTGACCATATGTAGGAATAGACAGCAGAGGGATAATACACAGCACTGCTGGGTGTGGTTTTACTGGGATTTAGCAAGTGCCAACTAGCAAAATAAGCAGGGCAAGGAGATTAATTACCTGCAAAGGTGCATGTTTAGCTCTCAGCAGTGCTGGGTTATGGAAGAGATGTTACTAGCAAGCATTTTGCTTAATCACCTAATTACGTAAAAAATAACTACATTATATAAAATAGTATGTTAATTAAACACAGCTGAGTGACAGTCTGCCCCACCCTCACACACACTGAGCATTGCATTGCTGTGTTTTCTCTCTCAAGGGTCACATTCTGTAGTACAGGCAGAAGGTGGCTGAGCACTGGCACTGCTGGTGCAGGGAGCACTGCTGGCTGGGATGGTGCTGGGACATACGTGTATCCAGGCAGAGCATCTGCCATCAGGCAAGGTGGGTTTAGTGCCAGTTATGCAGGTTCACAAGGAGCTTTAGATTAACTTTTCTTTGGTCCCACATCTTGTCTGAGTATCAGAGAGGGCAAAGAAAGTTTATATTCCCTCCACCTCCATCTGTTTTGTAAACAGTGTGGTGGGCCATGAGCCTGTTGCTATCTGGTTCACCTCAGCCTAGATTGAAAATCATCACTCTCAGTGTATTACTAGATCACTCAGTGATCAATACACACAGCAGTAAGGAAAGACTTGTGTGTATATATGTGGTGAAATGCAAAGTTTTAACACCTACTTAGCTGCCAAGATTAAAATTGCCTAATGCACCATGGGCCTTACTTCTATAAGGAGTAGTCAGTTCTCGCTGAGATTCAGAGAGAAACTCTTTTTGTTGCCCCAGCTGTACTCACAAGGGAATATTTTGCAAATAACAGCATTGTGAACATGTATTTTGTTTGGCTGTAAGTGTTGTCAATGGATTCAGGAAGTGAAGTCAGAAAAAGGCAGGGTTTCAAACAGGGCAGGCTGCACAGAAATGCCTAGGCAAAGAGCCTCTAATCAGAACAACATGTCTGGGACACAGCAATAGCAAGTAGAGTTGGTGTCTCTATTATAACCAACAAACCCCTCACACTTCTATCCCATGAGCAGAAGTGAGCTGCAAGGGGCGTTTGACCATCATTACTCACTGAATAGTTTTTAATCCTAAATCCTTGTCACTGTGGGAATAACAGTGACAATCTAACTTATTCCACAGTGGGACAGAGTTACTACCAGCAAATTCCAACCTCAGAACACAGCAGAAGTTACACAGTAGAAGTTACTTATATAGTAGAAGTTACTTACATAGTTCCTATCTCTCTGTACATCTAAAAAATACTGCCCTAAATGTGGCACTGTAAATACCTGCCCAAGGCAGCACATACCCACTTAACAATGAAGCCTAGTGACCAAGAGACACCTCAGCTATCTCTATTTATAGGAAGCTGACAGGAAATCCAGACAATATCCCTCCAAACCTTTGTGACAAATGACTGACAGTTTTGTCCCATGCAGAAGTCTAAGAAGTCCATTACAATAATTACTCTCTGAAAAAGTAGAGAGGCCTTGCAGTGAGGTACATTGCAGCACACATGCTAAGGATCGTATCCCCACAGTGCTGCAGGCAGCAAGGACCAAACCTGCAGGGCCCCAGGTTGCTGCATGGCAGGATTTCATCATGTATCTGGGATCACATATGGACACTGCAGGTGGAGTGTGGAGCCTGAAGCGGGCAGAGGTGGATCAGGGTGTGCACAGCCTGGCCGAGGCTCTGGGGCTGTGAGCTGGGCAGTGTCACCACACAGACTGCAGGGGCAGAGGGAGCAGCTCGGGCTGGAACAAGCTCAGGCATCGCTGGAATACACTGCAGAGAAGCACAAGGCAGAACTCAAAATACCCTCCACTTATCTTTAATATCAAGCCTTGCACTCTCTGTTCTTCACCTCTCCCTCCCTACCCCTGTTCCCAGAATTTCAGTGTAACAGCATGGAGTTACCCTTGTCAAGAAACTAAAAGCAGTTCAGGCAAAGTTGGCTACATAGAAAAGTTGCAAACATCATGAGCAAACACAGAATATTGCTAAGAGGCAGATGGACAGCAAGGAAATAATATTTGACATTACCATATACACAAACCCATTATGAGACAGAATATACCTTGGGAACATGTGGCATTAGCTTAGGGACAGGGGAAGGGAGGTGGTATTAGCCTTACAAGTAGAGAAAAGGGAGCTTCAAAATGCAGGTGGTTTGATTTTGTAGAAGGTGATTCTTCCAGAGAAGTGCTTCTTCCTTGGAATTACATGTGCTGGCTGCCAACACCAGTGCCTGCACCCAAGGGCTGGTGGGAATCCTGATTCCACATGTGTACATCATTGCTGACACGAGCAGCATGATGTGTGCTTTGAGCAGAGAATTGCTGTTCCTTACAAAGGAAACTTGTAGAAAGTCATCACATAACTCACCATGAAAGCCTGTGAGTACTGAAGCCCTTCTGGAGTGATTCTGAACAGCAGGACTCTCTCTTCCAGTTCTGCACAGTATTCTTTGCACTACATTTTTGTTAAGAAACAATGGAACTACAAAAATCAAATTAGACTTTCATCACGGTCCCTTCTGTCCTTAAGTACTCTGAAACACTAGGAGAACAGCTACAATGGGGAAGAATGGCTCTCTAAAAAGTTAATTAAATATTGAAAACACTGCTAATTGTCTTAGTTATAGAGTAACAACGGAGTTTAGGGGAAAACAAAACAAAAACCTAATCCAGAAAATGAGTGAAGTGAGTAGCCTATATTTGAAATTTCATACAGAACTTGATAGGTGATGACTGACCTGATTAATCTAAATCTCTATAAAATATCTACAAAATAACTCTGCAAACAGACACGAAGGAACAACTAATACTTGTTCTCCTCAGCCTCACACTTATTTTCTGGTTTGAGCCTTGTATTCTCCAAGCAATCTTTGAGCT